TATTAAAAGTGTCGCTGATATATTATTAGACTTATTCAGTCGGTTAAAATATTTCTTCATATGTAAATATATACGTACAGAAATAGTAAGCGTGAGAAAAACGTAATTAGGCATAAAATCATGCGCAATACACTTGTTTTGGGCCTTTTTCTAAAGCAACCGTAGATGATAAATAATATTGAAATTATTCCAGCTTTTAATACAGATTAATCATGCCATATTCATAAGGCAAAGCCAAACATGATTATTTGCAAGGCTTTCACCTGTAAAAACCAATCGAACGATGAAACGAAATGTCTGATTTATTGGCTTGTCATGATTTCATGAAAAATTATGCAGCATAAAGTCATCACCATTTAAATAAAAGCGCACATGAAGCTTGTGTTTGTGTTTGGCATTACTTGATTGGGAAGCACTCAAGAATACTGAAAATACAGATTGAGGCGAGCCGGTGAAGAACGATGGAGTAGAAAAAAAAGAGAAAAAGTATAATGGAACAAGTTTATTGCTTCGACTGAATCAAAGGTCACATCAAATAGAATGATTTTGTGTGTATATGTGCGTATGTCTGCTTACACGTTTATGCTCATATGTCAAAAATTATCCTCCTATGTTTGAGAAACTATTTTAAGTAAATAATTCATGTGTTACCTTCAACCAGTCATCTATTTTCGTTGTCCAATTCTCGTCTAATCATATTTTTCTATCGGGAGTTCAAGCAAATCTTGTTCAATTGGGTCTTGTTTAACAAGTATGATATTCTGCACGATATTACCAGTCCATGGAATATATTCTATTTGAGATTTCTTTAACGAGTTGAGAATGAAAAACGTGATATGAAAGTATTCAACTTTGTTTTTGTCGGTATTATTGTTCGAAACATGACGAATGGAATTGCAGTCACTTAGAACAAATCTTCATTAATCATTAATTTTATTTTTTGATTTTTCTTGAACTTGTTTATAAAAACCATTGACGCGCTGTAGTGCATTATAAGTTGTAACAGTGGTGCAGTATGATAAAAAAGGATCTTTGCATTCAATCAAAATAAATATTTCACTTTGGGTGAACTTAGTCGGTTATTTTCTTGGAATCCATGACAGAGAACCAGCTTATGAGATCGCATTAAGAGTAAAAACAATTTGAATCATCTCAATTAACTATATTTTGGCAGCCAATAACCCATGTGAAAAAAATAAGGGGAATAATCAGATTAAAATCGATTATAATCACAAATAATCAAAAAAGTCAAATTTTCATCGATTATAATCAATTATTTTCTGGAACTTTTAATCGATTATAATCGAAAATAATAGGAATAATCAATGAAAATTTGACTTTTTTGATTATTTGTGATTATAATCGATTCCTAATCGATTAAAAATCGATTAAAGGTGTATGATTATAATCGATTTTTAATCATTTTTTAATCGATTTTGATCTGATTATTCCGCTTATCTTTTTCACATGGGAACAACAATAATACTCGAAACAAGTTGTGCAACTGTACTTCTATGCTAACTTAATTTTTTTAGGAACTGAAACTTTGAACAGTAGTCATAATCCTTTCGAAGGCAACGCAAAAACGAATTCCTATGTGATATTTTGATGTTGAGAGTTTACGAACAACTATACTTGAACCTGTCCACGATGTTCAAGAGAAACCTTTGGTTTCACTTAAAACAACTGTTGAACTTCTCATCACTGTTGTTTAAAATGTTCAACAAGTGGTTTCGAAAGTCAAATATGTTTGTCTGACACCCACAAATGGTCTCTTCACTGTTGAATCTGCTTCAATTATACTCTATACGTTTGAATTGGAACGCGCACTCTCATTTTAGAAGATTTTGAAGAAAACGCTTCATTCTGGAACTAGAAAAGAAATGGAAACTTGCTTTTTTTACCTTCGACGGCCAAACTGTTAATCGTGAAATCAAAGCGAATGTAAGTGGAGAATATGTCAAGGATGAGACATGTGTATGACCGGCATTTTCATTATGTTCATCATACGTTAAATCTATTGAAGAGTTTCTTAGTTAAGTTAGACTTCGAATTCTATTTTCTATTACATCTAACACGGGAAAAAATACTCATCAATATTCATGCTACCTTAGAGAAGGCGAAATTTTGTTTCTTGTCGCTACATATTTCAAAGTCGTCGCAAATCTCAATCAAACAACGAGCTTCACATTATTCAACTTGAAGAGATTCAAACCTCTATACCCTCACCCTTTCATAATTAATAATTAGCAAATCAATTAAATAAATGTTCAATCGTTTTCGAAGTTGATTTCAGAGAACAGATATTGACTGATAAAGACATCGAATTCATCATCAAAGAGGTCATTGCCCCTTAAAAAATGCACAGACCTTCATGTAGAACATAATATGATGGCATCACAAGATGTATTAACTACAGTGTTAGGATTACAAAACAATACTATATTACAGAAACTTTGGTTGGATAAGAATCATTAAATTCGAATGCGATTACAGATGACAGTGAGAGATATCTTGCTGAAACGATAAAAACCAAGTACAACATTAACTTTTCTTACACAATCCCATACTGCAATAAGTGACCGAGTAATTTAATTTTTGGCAGCTACAGTCAGTCATCAGAGCAATACTCTCGAATGGACTGATTTCTTGTTGAATGAGTTAGTGAATGATCGAAATATAAGTTTTCTAGTTCGAATGATTAAGATCAATTCTATAAATCATTGTCATCATATTATATTTCTGATTGCAGTCAATCCGAGAATGGAAAATAGATATTGCAAGGAGTGACAAATATCAAATTGTTACTAATTTTCAAAATTTATATGCCAAAATTTTGAAAATTTCAAAATTTTCAAAATTTTCAAATTTTCAAAATTCTCAAAACTTTTAGAATACTACTAACTAGAAATAATGAGAAACATTGAGTTGATATCATCGTACTAACTGTCTTCTACAACTTAATTAAAAACAAATGTCTATTGAATCATTAAAACCCTACCACTTATATTTATGCTGACCAGACAAGCAGATATCAGATATTTACTTTCAATGTCAAAATTTGAAAGTTCTTCTTGAAATATAACATATGAAACATCATGTAGTACCTATAATTTTAAAAAAGTATCAGAAAGCAGATATCAGATATTTACTTTCAATATGAAAATTTGAAAATTATTCTTCAAATATAACATATGAAACATCATATAGCACCTATAATTTTAAAAAAATCATCAGAAAACAGATATCAGATATTTACTTTCAAAATCAATTTTTGAACACCATTATTAAAGAATGAAATCAATCAAATTCTGCGCACTTACAAAATTGACCATAAGACAAAAATCTGAGCATATTTCTTGTGTGCATGTTATGATCCATTAGTCTACACAATATCGTTTGAAATACGTTGTCTTTGATTTATCTGCTATATTTTGTTATCCTGATAGTTATAACTGAAAAGAGCTACTTATAAGATAGTCAAAAGTAAAAAAGGATGTGGGTGTGGGTGTGGGTGGGTGGTGTGGGTGTGGGTGTGGGTGTGGGTGGGTGTGGGTGCGGGTGTGTATTACGAAGGAAATCACCCGTACCTACACCCACACCCTATCTGCCTTCTCATAATTTTTTAAAAATTATATGTACTATATGATGTTTCATATGTTATACTTGAGAGTAATTTTCAAACTTTTATATTGAAAGTAAATATCTGATATCTGGTTTCTGAGAATTTTCTAAAATTATACGTAGTATATGTTTTTTCATATGTTACATTTGAAGAATAATTTTCAAATTTTGACATTGAAAGTAAATATCTGATATCTGCTTTGTGAGAATTTTCTAAAATTATAGGTACCATATGATGTTTCATGTGTTATATTTGTAGAATAATTTTCAAATTTTGACATTGAAAGTAAATATCTGATATCTGGTTTCTGAGAATTTTCTAAAATTATAGGTATCATATGATGTTTCATATGTTATATTTGAAGAATAATTTTCACATTGAAAGTAAATATCTGATACCTGTTTGTCTGACCATATTTATTAATCGTATGTGAAAGTAAATATCTGATTTCCTTCTTAAAAATCAGATATCTGCGATCAGACATTTAGTGAAAATTGGTACCAATTTGAGATTTGTCATGACCTCGCGAATCGAGGAATCCAACGAGTCCATAAAACACTAGAAAGTCAAGAAATCAAATCAATTCAAAGAATAGTATGGAGGTGTGGGTTTTAGCATACATTATAAAACAGCACCCACATCTACACTCTATCAGTGCCATTGAGTTGAGAATTAATATTGACAAGTCCTCAATCGAATCATTTTTGACTCTGATTCTAACAGTCGATGCCGCATATTTATCCATAGACAAAATCGTTCAAAGGATAGTCTATCTCAATACATAAGTAGAATTTATGATGTACTGAATTGAAAAGAAATCTGTGCGAAGGGACTAAATTCAACATCATTAAATCTTCTTCTGATCATAAATTTCGATTCTGTACAAATGTAATGCATAGTACTCGCTTAGTTTCCTATACGAGTAAAATGCTGTTGAGTGAATGAGTGTATGGATGAATGTGGGCCTTCGTTCATTCCTACCTACACCTTCACCTCCCCCATCCACATGCACACCACATATGCAAGATGTCTTTGACTTTCGGAAGGGATCAACAATATGTCTCGATCTCAAGAACATAAAATATAGCAACGGAGGTTTGTTTTTCTTCAATTAATGAATGGACATGTTTTCATGATACATAAAATATGAGCAAGGTGAAATACGTTTCTACACAACAGCAAATTTTGCGAAAGGTATTATAAACATGATTGTGTAAGAAAAAAACCTTTAATACAGGGACAGAACAGCTTAATTTTTTTTCAACGATTGGTTGCGAGGCAAAATCAAAAAATAATTTGAAAAAAAAGCATTCTTGCTTTGCAGTGTACTTTTACCACGATAGTGCGATTACGTGTTTATTCTTATTATAACGAAATGGATGTCGAATATACAGTAACAGAAATTGTACATCGCAATCGCTTTGGAGAAACTCTAAAGATTGAGTTTCAATTCGATGAATGTACTACAATGAGTTCAGTACCAACATTATCTGGTCTAACTCGACATAACAAGGAAAAACGTTATCGATCATATGAATGGAGCATAACACGAGACCAATATCAATCGCTTATTAGTAAACTAGGACGGCCTATAGGATTTGATGCATTTGTCGATGCTATACGTCCAATCATTATGGGTTATTATAAAGATAACGAACTGAAACGTGCATTTACGATTCTGAATCGAGATGGATCGACGACACTTAATATGAAGGAACTCAGCGCAATCTTGCCGATTCTCAATGAAACAATTGATGCAACAGTTCTGCGTGAATATATACGAAAGGCTGACCAGAATTTTGATGATGAATTAAACTATAAAGAATTTCAAACGTTTGTATTACGTGGAATCGGTCGAGACATCATTTGTAATTATATATGAGCCTGCATGCCCTCACACACAAGTACAGAACAAATGATATTAAACTTTGAATCGTTTTTATTTTTTAACAGATTGCGTTTCGATGAATAGCATGCTTTCTTTTTGCGCTTTAAACTAAACAAGATTATTTCTATGTATTGGGATTTTAAAATATTATATCAAACTAATAAAAAGTGTGTTCTTTAATGAGTGTGAATGCAAACAAAATTTTTATAAGGCATTCTAATGTATTTTATAAGTAATTAAGAAATTTTTAGCGCAATGTCACTGTTGCATAATTGTCTTTGTGCATATTTTTGCCTATTTCAAAAATAAGCTTATTGCCATGAGATGAAATCGATCTAAATTGAGTGGACAATCACACAATACAAGCTAAAAAATTGCAGATATCGTCGGTAATGGAGTCAGGAGAAGAATCAAGTACATCAATTCGGACGTCAATTGCTGTCTACATGAACAGTGTCCTTTAACAAACTCAAAGTACATAAAACGAACTGATGATTTGAAGATATGTTTTTTTGTTGAACAAAGAAGAACCTTTAAGTTAGTTGAAATTTTACAACAATTTCTATTAGACTTAATTGAGTCAAAATACTAGAGTTTAGTACATCGCTTCGAATGATCAAATTATTTATTGACTTTTCTTCAAAAAAGTCCTTTGCTTAGAAGATTGTGAAAGGACATGTGACACATAAGTCTTAAACTAAACTCTCGGCAATTCTGTCTTAGTTTGGTAGTCATATCGTGAACCCTGACGTTTCTATATATTCGTAAAATAAATTGAAAAAGAAACAAAAAGAAATTGCTCATTTATCATATGAAGTGTAGCTTATAATATTCAATAGCACATTACACAAACCATTGTACTGAGGATCAAGATATGTTCATTCAATGAAGTAGGTTTTAGTGTTTGTCGTAGATTCCTAATGTTCACTAAAGTTCATTTTGTACTTCATTTTTTCCTCCTTGTAACATCGAATCTTAAGTATCAAACATTGAATAATCTAATTTTTAGCTTACTCTGTATCTCATATTAACAAATAAGAGTTTAAGCTTTCTATCTACACATTAGTAAAAATCGGAAACAAGAACTAACTGTGCTGAACACACGCATCCAAAACGTCAGTATCACATAAAATAGAAGTCGAAAAGTTCAAATGTAAACTTTCGATGTTTTGTTCAGAAGATGAAACAGCACAAGTCATCGTATCATTCTTCTATTCTAACCTTACCGCATCCATCTTCTGTTGACTCATCAACTTCAACAAATTGACCAGATACACCATAGATTTATTGCCGAGTCTAGATAACTAAAATCAATGCTTCTTATGATCGTCATCAATATTAGATAAATGATTTTATATCTATTTAGAGTCAAGAAAATGCCTCAACTATATCCGTAAAAAGATTAGACATACGTCGCCTTGCACTTCAAATGTACGTGCGAAGGACAAGTTTTGTGTAAAGACTTATAAGATAAGCTAACTTGCTCTTCTAACTTCTCCTTTCGTGAATGCATCTCACAAATTCTTCTGAAATTATCCGTATCAATGCTAGATGCTATCGTCAAAAACCTGATGTATTGCCATATTTTATTTCAACTCTTGGTTCCTTGTATGTATGATTTTTAGACGGTGCATTGATGATAGTCAAATAACCATGGAAATCTGCGGTCGGACAAAGATGTGTAGGTATGTTAGAAGCAAAATAATACTTTTACATGCTGCAGATGATAGAAGGAGAAGTGGCTGAGTTTTTTTTTTGTAATCAAGAAGAATGAAAGACAAAAAAGTGTTACAATAGTCGTGCGCATAAGCAGTTACCAATGATGTAATTTACTTTTCGCACAGACGTGCAGAAGAAATTACAGAGGGAGAAAAAAAGTTTGTATTTACTTTGTAGACTAAGGATTCTTCATCCCTAAAGGCACTCGATGTATGGCCTTGCCGTCATTTTATGGAATAATATTTATTCAATTACTTTAAATCCTCAGTTTCATCTCTCTACTAGATGATGATGCATTAGCTTCAAAAAGGAGCGAAAATCTCCATCACAAGGCATAGAAAAAATAAATAAAGCATGAAATCGGTTGACAATTTATTTAGAGTCCTAAATTCAATCAATCAAGGTTTAACATATGTCTGAATGATTGATACCCGATGTAAGGTTTTTACAATTATTGATGTATCATGAAATAAATTGATAGATTCATTAGCAACATTTTAAATTTATGACTGATTGACAAATAGTAAAAGAAGAGATCCTCGCACAATTTTGTACAAAAGATCAGCATGAAAAAAAAATTATGTATACAAGTTTTGCAGCGATGACATTATAACAGAATCAGAAAAATAACATTGCGAAGTATGAATCGTTTGACTATATCGCTTTTCAATCTTTATTTTTTTTAATGCGAAAGTTGTTGCAGTTTCAAGCCGTATTCTATCGAATGAATATGTAAAGATTAAAGAGTCTTACTTTGAAAAAATCCTGATTGATATGTGTACTACCTCAATCTAGTGCGATACCGATAAAATCTTGAGGAAACAGGTTTGGTGAATCGTGAGACAAAATGGAACCCAAAAATTACGAAGAAGAATAAAAACATGATTCTAAAGACAAAATCCGTCGTAGGAGCTATCGAAAAATTAAAACTAAGCTCTGATTAGAATCGGCTTCATCACGGTATAATGGTGTCATTTGATTATTGCATCACTATGTTCAATGTCTATCGGAATAGATTTATTGATTAAATGTTGAATATCAAGAAATTTTTCTATTCCATCGTCTTGTTTCGAAGAAACATGGTCGAGATAGTAACACTAATATAAAGAAAAGATGTCGTTCGGACACCAATATCTGATTCTTGTTCGATCGATTGAGAGGCCCACGCAAGAAACTTGAGATCGTTATGATCGAATATTCATTTTTTTGGTTACTATCAACTGGCGTTCACAGAGTTTCAAATCCAGAACATATGAACTAGTAATATAGAAGATTAGCATTCACGAGAAGACAAAGACATGTTGAATTACAATACAACAGCAACAATATTCTTGTTTTGATATAGAAATTATAATGAATTGAACGTCCAACTTCTTTTCCCCGATGATCAAGTTGTTGACCTGAGCGAGCCAAAAAGAAAGCATGAGTGGATTGATCTCTCGCTACAACACATCCTGCATCAAAATAATTCTTACATCATTTTGCTGTAGAATACTTGAGTATATTTCTAAGTCCGTCGATACGAGCGTTCCTATAAATATCTACCATTCATTAATAATTGCTAGCCAGTAGTACTAAACTAGCTATGAGATGATCAAACGTTTATTTATTGAATCGTGCGACAAAGTCTTGAATAGAGACTTTCCATATTCGATTCGAAGAATTTTCTTTTCATTGGTTACCTCTGATTCAATGGTTAGTGGAAACACTATGACTCACTTGGTGTACATGTCATCAATATTTTTTTTTATATTGATTCACCTTTTCTTGTCAAAATTCTTTTAATGAAGACTAAATATCCCATCAGATGACCCAAAAGACTATAAACTCGATATATGAATTTCACATAAAACTGGCATGTATACTGATATGTCTATTAGTACTATAATTGATCAGAAATGTGACCGTGCCTTTTGCCGAGACATTTGATTCACTTATTGAAATGGAAGTATCAAACTGCTGACATGGATTAGAGATAAATCTTCTTAATAAAGTTTCAAAGATGAAATATTCTTCTTTTGACCAACCTGTATGTACATAGCCAGATATATATAACACATCTATATCAACTTCCAGTAGTGCTTGACAGCCTTGCGAAATTCTTCTTTGTATAATTTAGATGATAAAATGAAGACTAAAAAGATAAACGTCGATGAAATGAATCAAACGTGGAAAAGCAAGAATGACCAAGATAAATGAAGCTATAATAAGACGAGTATGTTGATGAAATTGTTCACGTAACAGCCGTTGATAGGTATAATGAGATTGAACAATGGTTCTTTGTCTAGTATTTGCTCTCAAGATGATTAAGGCTGAGATAAGATTGATGAAAAATGGGATCAAAAAAGTGAAAGAGATGAATAACTGAATTGCAATGTTGAAAACTAGGTGAGTAAGTTACAATACACCAAATTCGTTTATCTTCATTATCTTCATCGTCAAAAAGCCGTCGATGAACAGGATCATAAATAGCTGTGCAAGTTGACAGAACAAGAAGAGTAAGAATCACATATTTCGCTACTTTTTTGCTATTCTTCTTGTCAAATTTGTTTTTTTTTCAAAGCAGGTATTGCTCACTCGGCAGCTACAGATCCATTTAACCCTTGATCCATACTGAGACAAATACGCAAAAGAAAGTCAACTAATAAACATTGTACATATTAAAAAAAACCGATTGGTTGTCAGCGCCATTTGTGAACTGACAAGTATTCAAAATTTGATACCAAACAGAGTCATTGCCAGTAGAGTAGTGATGGATGATCCTATTAGATACAAACCACAACCGACTTCACGTAGTTTCTTACTCTGAAAAATGATCAAAGTGAGAACACCATTGATTAGTCCTACTATAACCATGATAACAGTCAGAACTGCTCTGATTTGTACAGCACATGGTTGCTTTAGAATGCTATGATGTAGTATAACGTGATGACCCAAAATGACATCGAGAGAAAGACCAAAACCACTAGTACTAAATTCACATCGTATACTACATAGAAACAAATTAGACAGACACAAATCGCATGTTTGTGAACAAGTTGGACTATCTTGATAGCATTGAGTTCTATTTTCGCAACCACTTTGACCAAGACAATCACTTTTCATATGATGATCAAATTCGAAACAATTAGCCACACTATGTGAACCATAATCATTACATAAACAAAGATGCATATCATCATAAAAACATGATAGTTTCGATGAATATCGTTGACATGGAACAGGATAATATTTGATGCGATGAAGATGTAATTTGATGATAGTTTCATTAAATAGCTCACTAATGTGTTCACAACGACCCGATGCATTGATTTCCCTAATAATCGTTGTTGATCGATAGAATGTTTTTTTGAACAACAACTAAATAATAACTTTCATTGAGAAGTCCGATAAAGACAAGATGAAATGGATGTAACCAAGAAATAATAATTGACTTTTGATGAACAGGTATTGTTTTCAAAGTAGTCGCATGTTCAGGTGAAGCATTATTGATCATTCGAATGAAATGTACAAACATGGCTTGTGATCGAGGAATATCTTTGTGAAATGAGACGATGATTTTACTATTCGCTATTTCACATCTATCTCTAGAAAAACTTTTCGAACACCATACAGGTGAATTTTCTTTCAGATACAATATGTTCATCAATTGGAATGCATTGTCCACCATTGAGACATGTCGTTCTTTGATCGAGTTCACATAATGTATTTTTGAGCAAACATCGAGGACCGATTCGATTAATCGGACAAATACACAAAGATCGATTATTTGCTAAGATGCTAACAGACAAAGAATCAGATGAACACATGCATATGTGTGGAATCGCACAGTATCGACCAGACCATCCTTGTTTACATTGACCAAAACTAAATCCATCCTGATTATTTGAATAACGTACAAAATGATCATGAACACTTTGTTGGTCTAAACAACTTTTTCTATAATCAATACGGTGTGGAATATTCAGTTGAACGGCAAGACGATGTACAGGCAAAAGGGAAATTTCAATGGCAATAGCCAACTTCCACGATAAGCTAATGAAAACTTTTCATAGATGTCAATATGTACCGAGTAGTTTCTTAATGGTTTTTGGGCCGTGTTGAATAGAGTAGATAAATATTGAATTTGATTAGACAATCTCGCATTGGTACATAAGTGAATTGTTCATGAGAATGTACAGTTCGTTCATTGCTATCATTGATAAACATGATCACGAGAACAAATGGTGTTCGCCATGCATCAGACAAAGCTCGATATTGCATAATGTGACTTACGCGTTGATTTTGGTATTAACACATATCACCATAGAAACTTGGTGGACAAAGACACGTTGTTGTTGTCAAATTCTTGTCTTTGTCTAACCAGGCTCGTAAATGAAAACCACAATGGTAACGTTGAATAGTTTGGCAACTAAACGAATGTTGTAGGATCATTTTTTCATTGGAATTTATTACGTTAATAGTCGAGTTTTGATCACTACAGAATGAAAAATACACAAGCTGTTGTTTAGTTGTATCTTTTAGTCGTCCACAAAGAAATTTTTCAACGTCAGACCTCATCTGGATATAATTATCGAAACAAATACTTTCATAGATTGTGAAATCTCGACTGTTGTCACAAGATTGTTCATCATTTCCATATTCACAATTGTCATGACGATCACAGAGATATGCAGAAACTATGCATGTCCTATGGCTGTCATTTTTGCAGTAAAAAATTGTTATCAGAAGGTAAATAATGATTTTCTCGGCAAAATTTAGGTTCGACAATGGCACCAAAACAATCTATTTTACCATCATTGGCTTTTTCGATTGATAGATATGTAAGTCGTTTCGTTTCAGTTGATAAAAAAATGTGATGATGAAGAGAACAAGCTAATAATGATAATGAATCACAATCAATTTCATCGGCTCTATAAAGACAATTCCAGAAATCATCACAACGTGTATATGTATTATTATATTGCCATTGTTCACATTCTGTTTCATTTAGTCCATTAATAGTTATTGGTATCAATTCAGTATAACCATCGCATATTGTCTGAAATAAGATATGAGTTTGAGAATAGTGAACATCAAAAAATTCATCATCACATAATCCATTCTCATATTCATTACAATGACATGTGCCATCGTTGACAAGTCGATAAGAAATACATTGATTTGTTTTTATACATGTGAAATGTTTTTTGAATCGTTCTGATAAACAAGTATTATTGTTCACATTCAATTGTTCATCATCATGATAAAAACAATCTATAATGCCATCATTTAGACGATTTTGAGAGATGCATTTAGATGACTTCATACATTGGTACATGGTTGATCTATTGCAAAGTGCAGTATTATTATTTACTATTTCATAGTATGTATGAAACAATGTAAATAATGGTGTGATATATAGATAAATCCATGTTTCTCTTCCTTGCCAAAAATGTAATCCACAATCTTCAGGGCGATAATATATAGTATTGTTAAACATGATATATTGATATATCACAAATTAGTGATTATAGAGTTGACCATTGAAACAGATATATTGAGGTTTATCTGCTGAAAAAAAAATCGTGAACTGTGCGTCCTTGTTTGTATATACAAAGTAAGCTTGATTAAACAAAATTGGCATTGATGGCAAATAAAGCATATCTGGACAAGTATTTTTAATGATTTCATCACATGCTGTGTCTTGATATAATGAAAAACATCCATCATTGATCCATTTATCTTGAATATGAAGAGCACAGCTGACATATTGAATCTGGCTTGTTCAGAAACATTGCCTTTAAGAGTAACTCACTACGTTGTTTCACACATGAGCTCATCAAAGGACTCTTATAATATTGCGGATTGATCTTACATACAACGTCTTCGCATGCAAATGTTGGTTCACTTTTATCACAATTGTCACGTTTATCTTGAAACTTCGAAACTTCGTCAAATGCATCAAGACAATTAGGAATAAGAGAATCATCACGAAAGAATGCATAAGGTATACATTGTTCAATGTTACATCGATATTCATCATTTCCACAATCATTGATTTCAAGTTGCCAACAGTATTCTTCATCATGTCCTCCATCAATACAATCAATTTTTTCATCACAAATTTCACTCCAGTCGAGACAAGATAGAGCCGAACCACGATTACATTGTAAATGGACGTAACATGTAAATGTAGTTGGTTCATATTTATGCGAATACAATTGATAAATTATTTCATTCAATGATGATTGATAAGGATCATAATCATCGATTGAATATTGACACATAGGACCAAACTATGACAATGTGCAATTATAGAAGAGCTGTGTACTCATTGATGTTTCATTAGAAATTAAAAGTTGATTCAAATAGGACTGGTATCTCTCAACAATACCCATTGGTGCCGACAAGATATATAACTGTTGACTAGTGATCTCTAGTTGATTAAGCTCGGCAAAGGCAAAAATTTGATCAAAATTATTCTTGTATATAGCCCATCTTAATGGCCATTCACCCATATTATATGAAATGATTTGACGAGCATTTTTCTCATCGTTCATAGAGATAGCAACGTACAGACAATTGTGCTGTAGTGTAACGTCATTCATGTTGTCCATGGTCCAATCTGTCAAATAAAGATTAATTTGGGAAGAGCTAAATAGTGAAGGAACCAAGAATATGAAATAAAGTTGACGACTCAGAAGTAACATCATTGATCATTCTCTCTAACTGTTAAAGACAAATGCAAGCAGAATATGTCAACGATTCTTATTCATCGGATTGACGTAAATCACATTTGTTTTTTATTCAAAAGAAATTAATCCAATGTGTTTTTCGTTATCAAATCGAATGACAAATGTTAAATCAATTCATTTATTCCTGTATCCTGTTTAAAATATTTTAAACTGTTGTAAATTATTAAACTGATTCATAGCTCACATTCGGTAGTAACTGAGCTCTGAATTTATTCTTATCAAAAAAGAATAAACACATGATATTTGTATTTGTGTTCTGATATCCTTTTATTACCATGATTCAGTTTGACGTATGATTATTCAGAACAATGAATGCCAAAATAGCAAAATAGACTTGTATCTACAATTCTAATTTGTTCTTTATCAACAGCCAAGTTAGATGCATTTACATTGAGATATGCCCAAGTTATTCTAAAATTAATGAACATTGCTGCTGAATTTTTAGCCGAATTTAAAATATTGTTTGCTTGAACAAAATCAATTAACCGTAACTTGTATTGTTGCTTCCTAATTCGAGATCTTTCGAAGATAATATAACATGTTCCTTTTCAGACATATGCGCGTTAAACTTTGGAACCTTCGAGGAAGTAAAAAAAAATACTTCTTTTGAATAGTTTTCTCTTGTGAGCTTTTTAAAGTGAAAAATAGAGATAATGCGTATATATTCTTGAGTCATTTATTAACACGACTACATAGAAAATGCATCATGTGTTTTTTATTTATTTGTTATGCTATGAACTGCAGTGCTGAGTAGCGTTACATGTTCGTTTAAGATAGACTTCATGAAAAAACTACATGAAAATTCTAATACCCAATAGAAGCAAAGCTTTTCATTTCAATTTTGACTATTTGCTCCAAAAAAATTGTTCAGTTTTACTGATAAATCTTAGTTTGCATTGATTTATGTTAATGCGGGTTTTAGTTACATCACACTGTCATGAAATAACAGTACAAATCAATCTCAATAAAAGTAAGGTGCTATATGAGTTTGATGCATTTCGTATGTAGTTGTGTTTTAGTGAAATCCCTTCAAAAAAACACAGAAAATTATCTAATCATTTGCTATTGAGAGAGTTACAAATTCCAATATTTGTATTGATATATCCTAGATTTCTACAGATAAATTTTAACAAGAAATTTTAGAACAGCTATAGACTCTATATTTATAAATATATTTGATGATTTGAAGCTGAATCTATAAATGACAAATGAGGAAATCAATTATTTACACGTTTGTAAACAATCAAATCTGAATAACAACCTTTTTGAAATTACAACTTGAGGTAGTCATTTCCGATCTATAATTCCTAATGATCAATTCGAACAAACCAATGAGTTTTTGAATGTGCAAAAAAAACAAAAACTATAGAATTCTAATCCATGGTTGAATGCACATGTCTCGTGCGTTTGCCACCTTTATTACGTGTCTGTTAAAGTCAACTATTCTTGTGTTTCCAGTTGTCCGTACACAATATTTTAGTTTTCAAGATACTATTTGGCATCGTTTCAGGAAAGCTATGGTTCCTCAATCGAAAGACAATGAAGTGCTGCACGAAGTATCGAATTTCTTCTGCAATTTATTGGCTATGAGAAGAATTTTACAAGTATAAAATTAACAACGTTAAACAAAGTGCTGCCTACTATTCTACTATTTTCGAAGGTATCATACTTTGGAATAGTTATCATACAAAAAAAGCCTTAGATTAGACGAGATTAAAAAAAACTACATGCAGAATTTAGAGAATACAAAAATAAATAATGTAGCAAATGGTTTTGTGTACGAGAGCTAATCCTGTTGTCATAATGGAAAAGAACTTGTATCTTTGCTATGAAAGTTATTTTTAATATCCAATTCAATTCAATTAACAAGAAAACTTAAATATAGAGAAATCAAATACGAAAACGAACAGGAATTTGAAATTATGAGTAAAACTATTAAGACATCGTAAGATGTTAATGAACAGGAATGAGGGTGTGGGTGGATGTGAGTGTAGGTGAAGATAAGAGTGTTATGCACACCCACACTCGTCATTAGATCTCGTATCGTTTCTATTTTCATTGGTTGACAAAGTTTGTAAAAGCCACTGTAAAACTATAAAAGTCTGGAGAAAATTATCTATCAGAAGCAATACTTGAAAAATCAGAAATCTCTTATCCAAATGACAAGATTGAGTTATTTAGTACCACATATAATAGAAGCCTAGAAACTGATTATATATCTTGAATAGTGATCCGTTTGAAGAAAATTTTTATAGAGTGTGAGAGGTTTCTATCATGAAAATCAAGATACAAATGCATTAATTATAGAAAGAACAAATGTACCTGAATGCTATTTTTTGCCTCGTTTGATTAAGCAAACACTGAGGACACGACTTCTACTGTAGGCTAGAGCCTTTATCATAGTGTTTATCAACCACCCTATTATGTTATTGAAATAGATATGGGAAATATATCAGGTGGTTTCTTAAATGTTGTGCTGCATATGCATGGATAAAAAAAACCAATCGATCAATATTCTCATAGTTATTTCGTGATTTGATTCTGTTTTGCGATGCATCCTACAGCAGGTAGTCGAATTTAAAAATTTTTTCATTTTGATTTTATATTTTGTTGTGAATAATGCCAAACAATCACGCAAATAAATATTACAGTTATCAGATATTTTTGAATGTTAAAAATGAGGCAAAATATTCAGTTTGCGTTAATTTTTTTCGCTAAATAGAGATTCTTTGATTTCATTGACATTGGTTGTTTCGTGTATTCCGTAGTAAAAATATATTGAAACACGTATAGTCTCTAGCATGTATACAATGAACATCAGTCATCAATCAATTTCTTGAACGTGTTGCACAACTAGCTGAGTATAGTTTTTAAATTTTATGCAAAAATCCATTAGACAGTTCATACTTAAATTGAAATAGAACCAAGAGAAACCATTTCTTATTTTCGAATTTCATTACTTAGCATGAATTTCTTTCGTATTAAGGTATGCACGCTGCTTTGCTATTCTTGTGCATTCTTCTGATTGATGCTCGAATTGTACCGCAACACAATCTGGATAATCAACTACGCATAGATGATGTTGTGAATAATGCCATTGTTCCTATTAAAGGTGCCACAAACAAAGGCTGGGAGGATTGGGAGGATTGGAGTGATTCATCAGGAGGGACTCTAGAGCCAGGTACTACCGTTTGCTATCCAGTTGTTGGATGTTTCGACAATAATCCACCATTTGACAATGCTGGCTTAGCAGTACCACAAGATCCAACAGTGGTCAATACTCATTTTCTTCTCTTCACAAATAGTGCACCAACAAAACCAGAATTTCTTCAATATAATAAGAATGATAGCTCGATTACTAACTCAAGATTCAGCAATACGAAATGGTTAAGAATTATCGTACATGGATTTACTAATAATCGAAATAGTCTTTGGATTCCACGATTGACCGAAGAGTTGCTCAAATTGAAAGATGTAAGAAGAAAAAGATACTATAGAATATGTTTTAGTAACCATGTTAGAAATTTTTCAGGGCGAAGCATCCGATGTGCTTGTTGTTGATTGGGGCAATGGTGCTAAATTTCCATTGTATAACAATGCGGCAGCCAATACTCGTTTAGTTGGCAAAGAAATTTCTTTGCTTCTGAAGAAAATGAAAACATTGAAACAATTATCCTACGATAAAGTTCACTGCATCGGTTTGTCTATGTCATCATTCATTTTTGGTGTCCAATGAAACAATTTTTTCATTGTTCGCCTAGGTCATAGCCTCGGTGCACATACCTGTGGGTATGCATCATATGAAATCAATCGTCAGATGGCTCGTATTTCTGGCCTTGATCCGGCCGGTCCATTTTTTGAAGGCAAAACTACTTCGGTACGCCTTGATCAGAGTGATGCGAAGTTTATCGATGTTATTCATACGAATACAGAACTTGCTTTGGGTCTCGGTTTAGGATCGGATGATCCATCAGGCCATGTAGATTTCTTTGTCAATGGTGGCAAACAGCAACCAGGCTGTCCTTCAGTGTAAAACATTGATATTTTCCTATGCGGTACATCTTTCTAACTATCTGTTCAATCTTTCTTTTGCAGTGGAACACTCATTGGCGGATTATTTTCAGGTCAGAGCGAAAGTAAGAATGGATATTTGATTAGAAACATGGAATTCAGTCATTTGATCTTTTTCTACAGGTAGCTTTGAACAAACATCATGTTCTCACAGTGAGTAACAAAGTTAGAGATACTAACGAGCTATGATGCATTATCAAACTTTTAAAGGTCGCTCTCATGGTTACTTCATTGAATCTATCAAGTAAGTATTCATACTTTGTCAGTCATAACTATATAAGTAACTAAATTATAGTTCGCAGTGTCCATATACTGCGCATCCCTGTCAAGACTTCGTACGTATAAAATTTGCAAACATCAAGGACAAATAATAAATCTTTACCATTTTCTAGGATAGTTTCCGTAATGGAAAGTGCTTGGTATGCCCTACATCTGGCTGCGGTCGAATGGGTACAGAAAGATAGTCATATTTCTGAAATCATTCAACCATTATTCCTTTCTATCTAAAAGGCTTTCATTCGATTTCTTCACTTGGTCGTGGCAATATGTATTTGGCTACCAAGAGTAGCTCACCATTTTGCGGTAGAATCTGATTAAATGCTTATGTCACTATTCATTTTCTTTTTATTTCGATGTCGGTAGGTTATCATTACTACGTCGAACTTGTACTCGGCCAAAATGCAGCCAAAACAGTCGGCGAAATTTATGTTGCTATCAATTCAAACTATGAGATCATAGCGAATGTCAGTATGACTCACAAGTAAAAGGAGTAGAATAGAGAGAGGAAAACGACAAAAATAAATTTGTTTGTTTGATTCTAGAGCAAATGTGGATATAAAACCGGGTGATGTTCTTCGACACGTGTTCAGCTTCAATATCGATCTGGGTCAAGTAGATTATGCTATTGTATATTTTAATAAAGGGAAAACTTGTCAGTAATCTTTCTTTTGTTGTTGTACTTACAAAAGAGAAAATAAATTTTTTTTTCCAGTATTCAATTTGGGTGGTCCATTCGCCAATGAGATTGTTATTTCTCGCCTTCGTATAAAATCAGTCGACAATACAATCAGGTATGTATCATTGAGAAGATCATCGCATTCTTAAAAACATCTCTCTCTTCCTCTTTTTTTTTATTAATCACAGATATAGCTCGGCTTGCGACAGCAATGTGATAGTGCCAGCGTACCAAGAACATACAATGCTACTAAATGGTTCTGATTGCGACAATTAATCTTTTTGAAGATAGAGCAAACTATATTTAAAATTTTCGTTGTCTAATAAAATCCGACAGCGCGCGTCTCCTATCATCATTCTATTGCCACTAAATTCCTAAGCTAAGTACCTATTTAAGATTACAATGAATACGAGCTACATCAGTATGACGATTTTATTCTGTTGACGTCTCTGTTTAATGAAGGCAAATGCTTTCGTAAATTATGGAACAATTTTGCACAGGTTCCATGCGTAGAAATATCTTTGAAAAGAGCTGGATTAGAAGAGTAGTAATTTATGTAGTTAGTGTACAAATCACATGATGCATATAAGATAGATATTATTTCAAGTGTGTTGCTATATACAGCAATGAGTGTGAGGTATGGATGTGAAATGATCATGAGGAATGGTCATACCTTCATCCACAATCTAACACTGAAGCTACCCTGTATTCAAAGAACATGCTATATTTATTCTGTCGATATTTGCTTAGATTACAGCACTAGAAACATTCGTTTAACCGTGATGAATATTTGCAGTGGAGACGATTATAGAATTGCTTTGCTATATGTATCAATAATATTAGGTGTGGGCGAGGGTGTACATTCATCTTATCTTCATTTCGATATAAAATGGGATATGAAGGTTTCTTTGACTCAATTGTCTTCATCAAAACTTACATAAAATCGATAGTTAATTTCTGAAATAGACGAGGATCACATGGATAAATGTGCTATTCTCTTTGTTGAAACACATCAAACAGAATACTAGAAACCGACATCCTACAATGATTGCCTAATGCGATGAAGATAAACATAATTTAATATACGAATTTAAGTTTACTTATTATAATTTCCAAATCTCGAGTTCTTTGTTAAGATTACATATTTTATTATGAAAATATTTAATTTATCGTTCAATAGTATGTGTCACGTTCGACTAGACATATAGAAAGATGTAATCTATAAATATGAGCTCTCGATATGGCCCGACCCACTTTTTTAAATCTTGGTGACGAAAAGATATTTAACTATGATGCTGCTCTTGACAAAATGTTGTCAGTACAGAGCTAAAAAGTATTTTGATCATTGTCTTTAAATTTGAAACGCATTGGTGCTATATTACAAGTATGGGTGTAGACGCATGCAAGATTTTTTACTCGTAATCCCAGTGACTTAGTCAGGAAGCCGTGCATATGAGGGCAGTGTGCCATGATCTTCTCATCCTTTTGAGTCAGATGTTGCTATTTGGCAAGATTGAGAGAATATTTTGTTAAGGGTTGGCTTGCCGTAATGATCTATTTGTTATTTTACAATTCAAGGATTATTTCAGTACATTTGCACACTTTCATGTATTCATAAGACAAAAAATCTTTACTGAGAATATGGTTGTACTCACTTGCAATGTCCCAAAGGGCTATCCGAATATGAAGAGTTTTTATCTACACATCTGAACATTCAGTGTCAGAAGCAATTAGTAATAAATTTTCTTTCGGAAATCTATTGTATATCACACAACTAAAAAGAATTATTCAATAAATCCAGATAACAAAATGTAGGCATATTGCCATGTGGCAACACTCGAGTGTAAAGAGACAAAAACTGTAAATCTGCTTTTCTTTTGTAGTGATCAAAGCAATGTACTATATCATATTATCATTGATATATATCTACTATTGGGAAATATATAGCCCTTTCGTATTAATGAGACGACACTTTCTATATTCAAATCGAAATGTAAGGCTTCCATATAGTTTCTGTAATCACACAGTGTAAGTTTTGTGAACAACAATTGACTAAAGATTAAAGAAGTATTATATTTCTGTTTTTTCGCAGCTCATAAACTGTGAAAAGTCCTTATAGTTCCGCGTTTCACTTTCTTAGAGTTTTGTTCCATTTCGAAACTATCGACTTTTAGTTTTTGAAGTGTTCTTAATAAAGTCGACTTCATAGATGGACGTGAAGTATGCAACCAACAGATATTGCTTAGTCACCGATCTTTCATAACTTTGTCCTATGGTGACACTAGCCGACTCAATTTCCGAAGCTGTGAAATAGGCAAGAAAAACGATAGGAGATTTCAATTTAATGATTATGTTTTCCTTTTTGCCGGTGGGAGGGCACCATCTCTCTAAATCCCTCTGGATACGCTACTACGGTAGAATAACTTCATCAACTCGATCATCTAAGGCAAACACTGTCAATTCGTCTGATCATAGATGCTCATTCAACAGATAATCCCTTCATTTAACCTCTAATATAATCTCTTATTTCACACTGAATTTTTATCTTCATAATTGTATTTTAACAAGTGTTGAAAATAAGATTGAATTGGACTAGTATGCCAGAGAAAGTGCCATACAAAGATCCATTGGTATCAAAACGCAGCCCGGTTAGAGCACCATACGAATAGATAGTTATTTGAGACAGATTAATGACTATCGACGCATTAACATCATTGGGCGTCATTCTTCTAATACCGTATTCGCCAAAGTATGTAGAACCACGATCATCAGTTGTTATACTCATCGAGGAGAGACTGTTCCCAGATGGTGTGTAGAAGTCATTATAGCGATAAGAATAATAGTTAGGATACACTGTGGTACCAACGGTACTTCCTGACGTGAACTTTTGTATTCGACTAAAAATTCATATCATCAATATACGTAAAATCAAATGGACGGAATACAGAAGAGAGTGTTACCTGTGGCTCTTCGCAAAAGCTTTTATTTACGTATCCGTTTCTGGTGTCAAGGGCAAATAGAGTGTTGCTAGAATCTACATATATTGAACCGCGGTAAGCAAATGCATTGACCTGATTGCTGTAGACGCCAATTGTACCAGTAATTAGTAACATAGAACCTGCTGTTGTGTTGTAAAGCAATATTCGATAGTTTGATGAATCCGAGATATAGATTAAGCCTGGGCAATCAACATAGACTCCTCCACAACCACACAGTTGAGTGACTGCTGGGCCACAATTTCCAACTCCTCCTACAAGAGTTATCTCATACATATTTCCTCCTGCATACTTCTGCAAGCGTGCATACGACAACATACCATTCTAAAACATTTAATATTTTATTAATTACATAAGAGTCTATACAAATTCATGAATACCGCTTCCTTACAGCAGTAGATAGTACTCAACTGATCAATATAGATAGCTATAGGACAAAACGGTGACGTCAAACCTACTGTTGTTCCAAATGAACTGCCTGAAGTGAATTTTTGAATTCGATTGTTCCATGTGTCAGAAACGTATATAGAGTTGCTACTGTCAACAAATAGATCAGAGGAATTCGCAAACGTGTTCGAACTGTTTCCGAAATAGTTGTAATTGCCAGCAATGATCGCGTAATTTTCATTTCAACTACCATTGCAGCAAAGGCGAATCGTCGCATTTAAAGGAAGAATGAGTACTGGTGCGGTATCCGTTGCTACATCATAAACCCATGGTAGTGCAGTAACAGATATTGCTAAAAATGCAATGTTCTCATTTAAAGAATGCGGTACATCCTAAAAAAATGATGACAGATGTCTGATAAAATTTAGAATACGATGTGATGGATGGCCCAGAATGAATATTGCTACATATATACAGAAAAAATTCTAATGAAATGTATGCAAAACTACCGAGCCAATCTTAGGTAAAAGCTTCTCAACGCAGCACTAGATAGAAGTACGATGTACACCGCACGCACACAATCACATGTGAGACCACTGAATACAATTCGAGCATAGGTAACGA